CAAGTATCACGGGTCTGCCCCTTGTTTTTATATAAGTTTAAATACGTCAACATTTTTTTCCATGGATACTGTGGTTCTCACTTGCTCCTCCCTTCATATTCACAATGACAGATCCACAATGCTGGAAGCCCCACTTCATCAGAGCCCCACATTTGGTGGCCTGGACAGTGGCTTCCTTGGGCAGTGAAACCTCTTGGACTGGCCACCCAGCTCCACCTCAGTATGGGAGGGGGCCAAGGGGATGGCCACTGAAAAGAATGGAAAGACCACACCCTAAGTGGGGAGAAATAGGATTCTATCACACAAGATCCCCAACTAATGGTGGCTTGTCAGGGAAAGGCTAGTGGTGAGGCTGCCAGCAAAGGGTGATAAAAGGAGGTACTTCTTCACCCAAAGATTAACACGTGGAACTCCCTGCCACAAGAAATGGTGGCTACAGTTGCTGTAGATTTTCCAGGTTGTGTGGCCGTGGTCTTGGCATTGTAGAACCTGACATTTCACCAGTAGCTGTGACTGGCATCTTCAGAGGTATAATACAGAAAGATGAGTACCCTCTGTGTCAAGATGAGAAGAAAAATGGTAGGCAGGTAATTTATATCTACTCCAGCAGGTGGGGTAGGGCTGAGTGTCAAGAGCTCTCTCAGCCCCACCCACCTCACAGGGTGTCTGTTATGGGGAGGGGAAGAGAAAGGAGTTTGTAAGCCACTCTGAGACTCCCAGTGAAGAGCGGGGTATAAATCCAATCTCTTCTCTTCTTCTTCAAGAGTGGGAGGGCTTTTGGAGTTTTGGCCCCACTGGTGGACCTTCTGATGGCACCTGGGTTTTGGCCACTGTGTGACAGGGAGTGTTGGACTGGATGGGCCACTGACCTGATACAACATGGCTCCTCTTATGTTCTTATAGGATGGGGTGAGGAAGAGAAGTGGTAGTGAGGCCCCCCCCGCTTTACGATAAAAGCCCCCTCCTCAAACACCTTTTCTGATCCCTTTATTACTAGTTCCTACTTTGAAAGCCACTCTGTGGTTGATGGAGGCAGGGATGGAAGAAAAATAGAATAATATGATATACTGTATTTTATATCATATTATATTAAAAGTTACCAGCCAGCAAGTGGCAACGACCCTAAGTTTGAGAGGCTTTTGCATCAAAGTGGAAGTTTTGAGCCACACACAAGGACGCCAGAAAGTCTCCCTCCAGAGATTTCTCACCCGGAAAGTCTCCTCGAGAGGAACCACCTCTTGATCTTTGTGCTCCTGGGACAGGCTGCAGACCACGCAGACGGGGGCTTCGACCTCCTTGCAGAAGAACTTCAGGGGCTCCCGGTGCTTCTCGCAGACTGCCCCCTTCGCTTCCAAAGGGCTGAGTTGCTTAATGAGTTCCACAAAGGTGGCCAGCTGCTGGTTCCGGCGGAGGCTCCCCTCCTGCGTCCTTCCTCTGCACTGGGGGCAGGCAGGCTCGGACGAGGCCCCCGGCTCCCCCCAGCCGCGGGTCAGGCAGGCCCGGCAGAAGTTGTGGCCGCACTCGGCGATGCTCACCGGGTCCTTGAAATAGTCCAGGCAGATGGAGCAAGAGGCTTCCTCGCAGAGCTTCTTCAGGGGACCCTCAACCGCCATGGCTGCCTGGACAAAGAGGCGGAGTTACTTTCGGTTTCGTGTTTTTCAAAGCAAAGAGGGGGGCGTCTCCCTTCCTGCAAATGAATCTTAGAGGATGAGGAATCAACCGCCCGGCAACCACTCTCGGAAACAGCCTGGGGGTGGAAGGCAAAACTCGAAATGGAGAAGTCTCCTTTGGCCCCGCATTGCAGGCGCCTACGATGGAAGGAGGCCATTTCCCTCCGGGGCACCCCAGGGGTTTGCAATATGGGGCGGGTATTCCCGGATCCGGCGGGAGATGTTTCCCGGGGTCTCTGGGGCAGGCAGGCATGGCGAGGGGAGCCCTCATTGGCCGACCGGGCAAGCTACCCCCCACCCCGGTCTGCTGCTGAGGAAGAGGCAGGCTGGAAGCAGGCGGGAGGAGTAGAGTCGAGGGCAACAGGGGAAGACCAGGCGCTTACGGAGGTTGGGGGTGGTGTGACCGAGGGGTTCTTCTTCGCCCCTTTCCAAAACTCAGGTGCAGATACGCGTTGTGGGTTGTCAGAAACTCTCCAGTTTCCCCGAGGAAGCCGACTCGAAGGACAGAAGGCCCAAGAGTTGCGATTCTACCCCTCCAGCCCTTCCCCTGCCGCTCTGAGCCGTCCCCCCACAACAGCAGGACACGCGCGTCCCGCTCCAGAGAGAGAGAAACGCGTCCACGCGTTTAAAAGGCCACCCGCCCCAAAGAAAACTTCCTCTGCAAACCGAAAATCAGCCTGCCAAAGATAGAAACTCCCTCCCATTTCTTTGCAAGACCTGCCCCCCCCCCCCAAGTGTTCAGGTGGCACAGCCCAACCTTTTTGTTGTAGACATACAGACCAAGCTGGTGTCAAAGCTTCTGGTCTTGAGCTATGCGACGTAGAGACCAGCCTTTATTGATTGTTGAGATGGGCGAGTAGATGGACTTAACCCTGCTTGGTGTTGCTGTCCTGCTGTTTAGGCAAGAAAAAGTCTCCTTTAACCAGTGGAAGAACTTTTCATGGACTGTACCACTTTAGTCTGTAGGTAAGCCGGTTGCGTTAGGATAACTTCCCTGTAGTTAAATCTCCTTGCATGCAGAAAAAATGGCCGGTAAGGAAGGAAACGAGACTGACCCTTTCCCTCTTGACATGGTAAAGCATGTTTTCTGGTTGTTGTTTTCCTTTACAAAGGCGGTCCAAGGAGGCCTGGGCCTCTTCCTGCTTTTGAGGTGTTTAGCTCTAATTAAAATATTATTATGACACGTTACTATGGGGATGTAACATTCCAATCATCTATTGTAACAAAGTACTCTTCCCCACATTTCATTTTTAAACAGTAATTCTAGTCCTTTTCATTATAGAGTTCTATGGGGAAAGGTGTTTGCTGCACAATACTAGCTGGGAACTGGTATTTTCTCCTTCTGCATAACCCCTTACTCCCATTCCCTAATGTCATTTGGAATGGCTGCGTATTCTTCCTGTTTTCCTCCCCCTCCCCACCCTCATGGTAAAGTTTAGACTGCAATCTCCTCAAGGCAGGAACCCGTCTTCCTCTACTCTGGCCATTTTGTTGTTGTTGTTCAGTCGCACAGTTGAGTCCAACTCTTTGTGACCATGGCAATGCTATGAAATAAATACAAAGCAACTGGCATTATGAGGGCATCTCCAGCTCTTGGGGAAAAGAAGGGAATCATAATTCCCCCTTCCCCTGGAAGCTCCAAAAATCCTTTCCCAGCTTCCTGCTGTTTTTGCTGAGCTGGGATGGTTATTATTTTAGCACCACATTTTCTTGCTTTCTAGAAAGATTCTGGCATGGTTTTCAAGACTGGACACTCTATTGTGTGAAAGTTTTAATGGCTTTCTCCAACTTAAGCAATTCTTTCTGTCATACAAGAGCCATGCACCTTCTACCCCAGCACTGTAGTACCAACAGTTGCAGCCCCACAGGATAATTGCTGGGTTTGCACTCTGTACAGGCACAGAAGTGATACAGTGCTGCTTGCCAGTTAGTAGGGAGGAAGCTGAGGCTCAAGTTGGCATGAGACACCCCCCTCATGCAGAGGTATTCCACGCCATAGAAATACGGATGACCCTAAGAACATAAGAAGAGCCCTGCTGGATCTGATCAGTGGGCCATCTAGTCCAGCATCCTGTCTCACACAGTGGCCAAGCAGTTCCCCTGGACGGCCAACAACAGGGCATAGATGCCGAGGCCTTCCCCTGAGGTTGCCTCCTGGCTCTGGGATTCAGAGGTTGACTGCCTCTGAATGTGGAGGTTCGCCTCAGTCAGCATGTGTTGGGATTCTTTTTGAGTAAATTAGCAGAGTATTACGAGACTGAGTCCATGGTGTGTATTAAAATATACACGTTTACTATAAACCTAACATGGGAAAAGGTACACAGGATATAAAATAACAAAGAGCTAATATGGCTACATCCTTACAGCTAAAAGGTAAAACGGGGAGAGCCTGAATGGCGTCTCCTCCTCTAGTCAGAACAAAGAATGGGAGGAGAAACCATAAAATGGCACCTTGGTTTCCAATCAGAGTAGCAAACTAGCTCCAAAGTTCTGGGGCATCCTATTGTCTAAACAGATTGGTTACAAACAAACATGTGACTTAACAAACATCATTAACCCTGAAAATACTGAAGTGTTTTTAACTTGTAACATCCAACAGCATGGCTAGTAGCCACTGATAGACCAGCCTCCATGAATCTAACCCCCTTTTAAAGCTGTCTATGTCTCTGGCCATCACTACATCCTCTGGCACTGAATTCCGCCTTGTAATCACTTTGTCTGTTCTGAATCTGCTGCTCATCAGCTTCATTGGATACCCACAAATTCTCCACCTCATGCATAATTTTATAAACCTCTATCATCCCCTCTCTTTTCTAAACTGAAAAGTCCCGGACTCTTCAGCCTTTCCTCATAGGAAAAGGTGCTCCAACCCCCAGTCATCATGGTCCTTCTCTTCTGTACTTTTTCCAGCTCTGTAATGTCCTTTTTGAGATACAGTAACCAGAATCGGAGGAGCTGTAGTGGCTCAAGTGGTTGACGCTGAACTGCAGGCTGTGGAAGGTCGGTAGTTCAGCAGTTCGAGACCCGAGTTGCCGCACGACGGAGTGAGCTCCCGTCTCTAGTTCCAGCTCCTGCCAACCTAGCAGTTCGAAAGCAAGAAATTGCAAGTAGATAAATAGGTACCACTTCAGTGGGAAGGTAACAGCGTTCTGTGCGCCTTGGTGTTTAGTCATGCCGGCCACATGACCATGGAAACATCTTTGGACAGCGCTGGCTCTTCGGCTTTGAAACAGAGATGAGCACCGCAACCCTAGAGTCAGATTCAACTGGCTTTCGAGCAAGGGAACCTTTACCTTTACTTAACCAGAATTGAAAACAGTAATCCAAATGAGGCCGCACCATGGACCTATATAGGCATCATAATATCAGTCAGTTTATTTTAAATCCCTTTCCTAATAATCCCTATCATAGAGTTTGCCTTTTTCACCACTGCAGCACATTGGGCTGTTCATTGAGCTATCCATTATGACCCGAAGACCTTTTCCCCTCTCAGACTGAGCAAGTTCAGACCCCTTTAGCCTATACTTGAAATTGGATCCTCCCCCATGTGCATCACCTTACACTTACCAACATTAAACTTCAGTTGCCACATTATCCCCCACTCAGCTGCTTCGAGGAGATTCCCCCATGGAGCCCTTTACAGTGAGCCTTGGATTTCACCATCCTAAAAATTTTTATGTCATCTGCAAACTTGGCCACTACAGTACTCACCTCTAGCTCCAGATCATTTATGAGTAAAATAAATAGTTCTGGCCCCTATACCGATCCTTGTGGGACCCCACTGCTTACTTCCCTCCATTGTGAGAAAAACTGTCCATTGATTCCCACTCTTTGCTTCCTGTCATTTAGCCAGTTTTTAATACGTAAGAGAACCCACCCTCTTATCCCATGACTGCTAAGTTTACTCGGGAGTCTTTGGTCAGGTACCATGTCAAGAGCCTTTTAAAATCCAAGTATATAATTGTCAAGATAGCTAGGCTTTCTTGTGGGTTAACAGGAGACTTGAGCACACATGAGCCAACTTAAGTTTTAAAATAAAGTGTTTATTTAAAACAATGGTCAAAAGAGAGAAATACAAAATCCAGCAACAAAACACTTCAGAGAGTACAACAAAATAATAAACACTAACTCAAACTACCTGTGTTCTATAGCGCAGTTTTCAGAAAGCATAGGCTATAAGTCACAACGAGGAATGTGGCTTCACATGGAGGTTTGCAAACAGGAACCACATACAGGAGTTCCCAGAATCTCCTAGGCTAAATTTCCCCCCAGATAAGGTGTCAAAATATACTATTTTTCCCTTTCAAATATCAGCTGCCCCCACTTTACAGTCAAAACAGTTTTTCCTAATAGAGTTAATTGGTAGGTCTGCTTGTCCTTAGAATCAGCACCTTAACAATAACAAACTTAAAACAGCTGCACTAGGAAGAAGGCTAACATACTGTTGCATCACTTAACCCTTCATAGGCACTTTTGCTTCACAATAATGTTTACCGGTTCACTGTGGTCTGCATGCTTGTTCACTTTCTCAAAGAACTCCGAATGGTTGGCGAGGCAGGACTTTGCTTTGCAGCTGAATTTAGTGATAGGTTATGGGTTAGTAGATCAACTATTTCATATTTGAGTGTCTCAAGGACCTCTCAGGTGTATGCCATCAGGCCCTGGAGACTTACGAGTTTTTAATTTCCCCGATAAGCCTAGAACGTCATCTCTGGTCACCTTAATTTGGCTCAGTTCGTCATCTTGGGTGTTCTGTACTTTTTCCAGCTCTGCAATGGGATTTTTGAGATATAGTTTTGCTGAAAACAGTGGCTGTGTGGCATGGATACCTGCCCACACTTTACAGTGAACACAAAAGCAAAACAATTCCTTGCACTTCCCTGCCACCTCCCCATCTTCTTTCAGCAATCCCGTTATTCCTTTGCCATCCAAAGGCCCCACCACTTCTCTGGCTGGTTTCCTGCTCTGGATATAGTTTTTAAAATGCATATTGTTTGCCTTGATGCTTTGGGCAACCAGTTTCTCAAAACCTTTTTGCGTGCCTAACGTTGTTCTACATGTGCCCCCTTGCCCAGCTGGTGCAGAGTTTGAGGCTGGGTTGTCATCAATATGCTGATGACACCCAGCTGTATCTGTTGATGGACAGATACTGCCCCATCTTTTTTGGCCAAAGGGCTGGAGACTGTGGTTGGATGGTTGAAGCAGAGCTGGCTGAAACGGAATCCGTCAAAGATGGAGGTTCTATGGATGGGGGGGGGGGACCCCGGGTTGAGGTACCAACTCCCGGTTCTTGACGGTGTACCTTCAACACTGGTACTGACCGTCGAGAGTCTGCGTGTGTTTCTGGATGCCACCTTATCGATGGAGGCCCAGATCATAAATGTCACCAGACCGGCGTTTCTACAGCTATGCCAGATCAGGCAACTGGCCCCTTTCCTGTCTCGCCCTGACCTAGCCACAGTAATCCATGCAAGGGTCACCTCCCGGTTAGACTACTATAACTCACTCCGTGGAAGGCTACTCTTTATGGGCTTCAGTTAGTGCAGTTTAAATGCTTGTAGATGTGCTCAGTTTAGACATAGCTTTATTATTTTTATCCTCACTGATCACTGCTCTTTTGATTATTCCTGCACAATTTTATAGCAAAACAAATTACTATTACTTTGTGCTGTTTGTGAACTCAGAAGGCTTCAATCTGAATCCTGTACTTTAGCCTAGTACTGGATTCCTATACTGACTACCTGTTGGGTATTACAAGTTGAAAACACTCAGTATATCTGGGGTTAAATGTTTGTTTATGTTACTCACAGGAAGTCACATGTTTTTCATGTAACCAATGTTCTTTAGCTGTAGAATGCCCGGGAATTTTCTCCCTGATCTAGGAATTTGATTGGGACTAAAGTGTATTAGCATTTTATGGCTCTCTTCCCGTCTTTGTTTTGGTGTTCTGAAGAAGAAGAGTAGCCATAATCTCTCTCTTCTAGTTTTGTCTTTGTAGTGTAAGGATGTAGCCGATTTAGCTCTGTTGTTATTTTCATCCCAGTTACCCTTCCCATGCTAGAATTTAGTAAAAACTTTATGTTTTAATCACACATGGACTCTCAGTCTGAATTATTTTATTCCGGAACTGCTGGACTATCTTATCTCTGCTAAATACCATTTTTTCAATATCTCAGTATCACCCAACACTATCGCTACTAGAGTGTTTTAAGAAACGCACCTTGTAAAAGCCCTACCTTGCAGGAGTGGCTTTCTTGTCATAGTTCCAGGAGGGCCGGAGGCTTTGTCCATTGGTCTCCGACTATCTGGACAGGAATGGGGCTGGTGGCAGAACTACCTTGGGATGTGAAGACTCACACTTCAGCCTTTTTGGTCTTGTCTTGCATGACCTGCCCTCCTCTCCAAGGGATCCTGCTTCTGGGGTCCTTTGACAATGCCTTCCAAGTTCCTGAACTATTCTGCCATGGTATAGCCCTATTGTGGTGTGGTGGGAAGTGGTCAAGTCAGGCTTTCCTGAACAACTCTGTTAAAGAGTTTACAAAATGACAGAAGTGTGGGAGCCCCTCAGACCACAGGCAGGCCATTCCAAAAGGCGAGGGCCACAGCACAGAAAGGAGGTCTCCGATCAGTCTTTGGTCTTGCCCGGTTATTTGCAGGGTAGATGAGGTGGGTGGGCACATTCAGCACTTTGCATCCCGAGGGACAATGTTATTTATGGTCCTGTTGAAAAACAGCACTGCAAGAAGCAAGCTGAACTAGAGACTTCCACAAAAGTCTGACTACTTTGGTTTGCTTGCAGGGAGTTTTTTAGGTAGGGGAATAATTCAAATCCTGGGAATCCGAAGAAGTCAAAACTACAACAGCAAATGGACAAAGAACATTATGAACGTAGAGATACACGCTAAAATATCCTTTGGGGGGCCCTCTTTTGATCCAGTAGAGCTCTTGTGTTCTTAAACCCAAACACATACACCCTCCCTTTGCCTCTTGCATTAATTTCAAGCTCAGCTCTACTGTTTGAAGGGAGGGTTTGCAATCATGCAAGTAATAAGCAACCAGTGTTTTTAGAGAATCTGCACTGTACTGCACTCTTGACCAGCCTTTCTTACAGTCAGAGCATCTCTAAAGCTTTTCTGCTGTAACCATGACAGAGAGGGTGACAAATGTGACTCCTGTGATTGAATTCAGCTTTGTTTGCACGGTTTCTGTCCAGTGTGACCCTCTGGTGGGAAGTAAGGCTTTTGGTGTAGCAGAAGTTATTTTTAAATTAGAAATATGTCTACAGTTTCTCCCCATTGTGAATCCTTTGGCGAGCAGTACGGTTTGGGCTCTTGATTGAAGCTCTTTCTACATTCCAAAGCACTTACATGGTTTCTCTCCTCTGTGAATCATTTGATATGAAGTAAGGGTTACACTCTGACTGGGAGGAGGAGGAGGAGATTGGATTTATATCCCACCCTTCATTACCCAAAGGTGTCTCAGAGCGGCTTACAAACTCCTTCCCCTTTCCCTTCCCCTCCCGACAACAGACACCCTGTGAGGTAGGTGGGGCTGAGAGAGCTCTTGACAGGAACTGCTCTTTTTCAAGGACAGCTGTTATCAGAACTATGGCTTGCCCAAGGTCATCCAGCCAGGTGCAAGTGGAGGAGTGGGGAATCAAACCCAGTTCTCCCAGATTAGTGTCCGTGCACTTAACCACTACACCAAACATTTTCCACATTCTGAACATTTATATGGTTTTTCCCCAGTATATATCCTTTGGCGAGCAGTATGGTTTGAGATCCATCTGAAGCTCTTTCCACTTTCCATGCATTTATATGGTTTCTCTCCAGTTTGGTGTAGTGGTTAACTTTCCATGCATTTATATGGTTTCTCTCCTGTGTGAATCCTATAGTATAAAGTTAGATGGCTATAGTGAATGAAGCTCTTTCCACTTTCCATGCATTTATATGGTTTCTCTCCTGTGTGAATCCTATAGTATAAAGTTAGATGGCTATAGTGAATGAAGCTCTTTCCACTTTCCATGCATTTATATGGTTTCTCTCCTGTGTGAATCCTATAGTATAAAGTTAGATGGCTATAGTGAATGAAGCTCTTTCCACTTTCCATGCATTTATATGGTTTCTCTCCTGTGTGAATCCTATAGTATAAAGTTAGATGGCTATAGTGAATGAAGCTCTTTCCACTTTCCATGCATTTATATGGTTTCTCTCCTGTGTGAATCCTATAGTATAAAGTTAGATGGCTATAGTGAATGAAGCTCTTTCCACATTCCAAGCATTTACACAGCTTCTGTCCTTTGCTAGGTGTCGAGATCTTTCTGGGTAGCCAGGATCTTAGTCTGGGTAGGCCTGCATCAGCCATGTTTTTGTGGATGGGCAACAATTTTCGATTACCTTTCTATATTCACGAAGAAGAGCATCTTGTCTTTGGAGATGCAGGAGAGTGATGTGGCACAATGTGGACAACCATTAGATCAGAGTGAGTTTAATACATCCGCCGATGGTTCTCATTGTTCTACTGAGTTGGTCATCAGGTTTGTGGACATGAGTGCTCTTGAGCCATGCTGAAGCACCATATTCCACAGTATGATACACCAACCCCAAAGCTGAGCATCTTAAGTGTTGTAGCAGACACACCCAAAGTTGTACCACATAATTTTTGAGAATGTTGTTTCACGTGCTACATTGGTAAGATGGTGTTTCTAGCTCAAGGTCCTGTCCAGGGTAATGCCAAGGTATTTAGGTGTATGGTTGTGTGTTAAGTCGGGTGCCATTAAGGTAGACATTCAGTTAATGGTTGGCAAGATTGTTGAGATGTAAACAGGAGCATTCTGTTTTTCCTGGACTTGGGATAAGCTGCCATTTACAGTCGTCAGCCAAGATTTTGAGGTCCCTAGCTAGTATTTCCTTAGTCCTTTCAAAATGATTAGTGCTCAGTGCCCAGAGGCAACATCAGGGCAGGCCTCAGCCTTGGAGCCCTATTGTTGGTCCTCTAGAGAAACTGGTTGGCCACTGTGTGAGACAGGATGCTGGACTAGATGGACCAGTGGACTGATCCAGCAGGGCTCTTCCGTTCTTAAGGACTTGTCCACCTCAAGAGTGCCATCCTCGTGGGTCTTTGGAGCCACTGAGGGCCCAGTCTTCCAAGTCTCCTAGCTTTTTGAAGTCCTTGAGCCTGACTGACAGTTAACGACGGAGCTGCTTTTGCTCTGCAGTAACTAGGCAACTTAGTTTAATGAGAAGGCAGAACTTGGTAGTCAGTAAGTTAGCTGCAATTTAAATGGTTTAACTTTTATGCGAGGATTTTCTCTTATTTGCAAGTGACTTGGCTGATTTCACAATCTCGTTTAGTGTTTGCAATGTATGATGGGTTATGGCTCATCTTTCCACAGTCTGTTCTGACAGGCATTAAAGCCTTAGTCTAGACCCATACATTATTTTGTTCATTTATTTCCTGTTCAGGTAACCCCGTAGTATCTAATGCAGTCATATATATATCTGGTTTTTTTCCCCATATGCTTGACCTCTAGAGCTTTTTCATGCACCATACGTTTAGTTTACCACTGTGCTTTAATTTGTATCAGTGCAGTTTTCCTACAGACCACAGCCTCCTACCCACCGGAGTGACAGGACTCCGCTTAACAGGTTCCCCTGCTTTAGGCAGGAGGGAAGAAACCTGCTTACTGCTGCTGAGAACCAGTGACTTGCAGTCCATAGTATGGTGGACCTGGACTGATGAGGCCTGGGTTCCAGTCCTGCCTCAGACATGAAACCCAGGAGCTCTTGGTCTAAGTGACCTCACAGGGTTCTTGTGATGATAAAATGTAACAGCACACACTTCAGTAGAGACCACCTGACAAAAGAACAGAATGAAGATCTTCAATCTGAATCCAGTACTTTAGCCCAGTACTGGATTTCTGTACTGACTACCGCTACTAGATTGTTCTAAGAAACTCACCTTGTAAAAGCCCTACCTTGTAGGAGTGGCTTTCTTATCATAGTTCCAGGAGGGCCGAAGGCTTTGTCCCTTTGGACAAAGTTTGGTGTAGTGGTTAAGTGCGTGGACTCTAATCTGGGAGAACCGGGTTTGATTCCCCACTCCTCCACTTGCAGCTGCTGGTGTGACCTTGGGTCAGTCACAAGCTCTGGCACAGCTGTTCCTGAAAGAGCAGTTTGTGTCAGAGTTCTCTCCGCCCCACCCACCTCACAGGGTGTCTGTTGTGGGGAGGGGAAGGGAAAGGAGTTTGTAAGCCGCTCTGAGACGCCAAGTGAAGGGCGGGGCATAAATCCAATCTCCTCTTCTTCTTGGTCTCCAACTATCTGGACAGGAACGGGGCTGGTGGCAGAACTACCTTGGGATGTGAGGACTCACACTTCAGCCTTTTTGCTCTTGTCTTGCATGACCTGCCCTCCTCCAAGGGATCCTGCTTCTGGGGTCCTTTCACAATGCCTTCCAAGTTCCTGAACTATTCTGCCATGGTATAGCCCTATTGTGGTGTGGTGGGAAGTGATCAAGTCAGGCCACTTCTGGGAGTATAACTGGAAGTGACATCACGCTCTGTCATGACATCTCCCCCCCCCATTTCTCCTGCTGCTGCACTAGGCAGTGGAATTGGGATGGGGGGAGGCGAAGGGCTCCCACTGTAGTGAGCTCCAGTACACAAGACAGCTACCCCAGGTGGATGGCAGAGGTTAAGAGAGAGACTGCCACAGGCAGCCAGAAAAGCCTTAGTCCAGGATGTGAATGGCTCCTGGGACAAGCACTGAAGGAAGTTGGGTGCTGTGGCCTAGGACTGGACTAAGGAAGGTGTTAAAACAAAAGAAAAAGTCGGCCTTGAGGAAAATAACAGCTATCTGAGACCAAGATCTCCCTGACCTGGCTGGTTGTCTAGACATTTCCCCTACTGCGGCTTGTTGTTTCTCCTTCCTGCTTTTTGGCTTTAACCCTCCTTCCTTCCCCTGTCCTATTTAAAGATGTCAAAAGGCAGAACAGACCTCCTGGGCTTGAACAAACACTAGCAACAAAATGGCTGCTGCAGGAGGCAGAGCCAGACACAAAATGGCTGCAAAAGCTTACCTTTAGTCAAATAGCACAGATCCTTGTGCTGTGGTGGCAGCTGCTGCCAAAGCAACATTGTTAAAAATCTGAACAGCCAATCCATTCTTCAGTGGCCAATCCAAAGTCCTGCTGCCAAATCTCCACGATTATTTATACCCAGTTTATAAAACCACTTGGTGGGCGGGCACCAGGAAAAATGTTTGTGGGAGCCACGGCACCCGCAGGCACCACACTGGGGACCCCCAGTGTATTTCATCCACCTTTATAAACGAACAAAAAATCACGTGTGGAAGAGCTCTTCCACAAACACCCTGATCACATGAAAATGAGATGGACAGAATGGGTTGAACTGGCAAAGCAGGTCTTAGTCTTGTTGTACGCACCGCTTATGAAACACTTTGTACTCTGCCACTGACTTAACAGTTTAACTTAGTAGGTGCACTTAACACTTCCATGGTGCATATGTTAAGTGCCTTTGATGATTCTAATCACAGTAACTGAAATCAATCATGGACATATATTCAGATATTCACTTTGGTTCATTGCTTAAATGCATTCTGGGTAAAATACTAAATGCTGACAGGCAATCATACTGCTTGTGGCCTTTCTTGTTCTTGCCAACTATAACTGTGCATATTCCTGATGTCATTTAGCCTATGTCAGATGAAGAACACACGCCACTATGTACCCATATCTGCTACATTAGATAGTTTTAGAATTCCATAGGCTGGGAAGAAGAAGGCCCATTGTTCAACTGAAGGAGGTATATTTTTGCCTGAGAAAATCCAACCCACAGGTTGGAGCCCAATCAGAACGGTGTGACGGATATGTGACAGAGTTTGATGAAACCAATAATCTGATTTATTTGCACAGCGTCATAGTGGGTATAAAACTTTATGTCTCCCATTGTAACCTTAGGGAAGACCTGTAGGTATTCGAGGATTCAAAACCTTGTTGTACCTATATTTTCCCTCCTTTATTAATAAAGTTTAGCTTGGATTCTCCTCTACAGGATTGTGCCTAGTGCTTTCTCAAATTGGGCTGGGGAAGCACAACCCGTGGCAGTTTCTGTTTTACAGTGTTCATAATCCTAGTCTTCATAACCCAAGAATGACATTGCTGCTCAAATCATTGGGATTTCCAACAGCCACATTCAGGATATGTTCTTTCCCTTTGGTCACAGTTTCTCTGTCTCTGATTGAGGGAAGGCTTTCTTTTTCTCCTCTGAAGCAGGAAATACGAGACTGGCCAAAAGGAGCTACGCTGTAAGGAAGCAGGAAGCAGCACACAGCCAGTTGCTCTCAGACCGGATTGGGGCCTTGCAGGGGCCGGATCCGGCCAGTGGGCCGTATATTTGACACCCCTGCCCTAGGCAGTTAAGGCACAGAGAATGGCCATTTAACAGCACCATTCTAATGCAGCAATTGGCCCAATCCTGAGGAGGTCCCATTTGAGCCATAATGACACAGTGAAAATTGAGAAACATTTCTTCTTTAAATGTAGTTTATTCTTCAATAGAATGAGAACTGATGACAAAAAACTTTGGATAGAAATATGTCTCCTCAGCCTCAAGAATGAGATGAGGAAAGCAGCAGAGCCTAAAGCGTTGGAAATCTTTTCCATGGCTGGCCTGCACACTCAATTTCTTTATCTGGGGTAGTGGTTCTACCTCCAATATATTTCTTTGCTATTCTGAGCAATGGCTGCCATTCTTGAATGCTGAAAAAGAAAAAGGCAAATGGGGCAAAAGAGGCCACACTGTCCCTCATAAAATATCATCACTCAGAAAGTACCTTTAATTCACAGGGTAGCCATAAGTCAAAAGCAACTTGATGGAACAACATTTAGAGCCTTCCTACTTATAACAGCTATAACCCACTGGGGTGACAGAACTCTACTGAACAGGTTAACCTGCTTTGGGCTTAACAACTACTGACAGCTAGTGAGTTGCAGTCCATAGGATGGTGAACCTGGACTGATAAGGCATGGGTTCAAATTCTGGCTCAGCCATGAAGCTCATTAATACTTCGCCTAAGTTACCTCACAGGGTTGCTATAAGGATGAAATTAAACAGCACACACTTCGGTAAAGCCCTGACACATAGCACCTGAACATCAGGTTGCATTAAGAGTCAGAACAACCTTTACATAAGCTGCAATAATTTCCCATACAAAGTTGACGAACATATCAAATGACCAACACAAGACCATACATGTCTCGGCCTCAAGGGCCTCCTTCAGTGATCAATAACACATACTTTTAAAAAAAGTCATCCAGAAAATAATATACATCAATCCTCCTGACCAGGTGTTATCTCATATACTGTGTAGTATGATGTAAGCTTACAAAGCGGGCCATGGATCCGTTTACATGATAACTGCTCTCACACATAAATCTTCATTGATGCTATAATCAGGAATAAAGGTTCCAATACTTTGGGATTTGTGTGTTATCAACCAGCAATTAAAATCAAATGTTTCCGTGGTCCCTCCCCAGTCTTCTCAGGGTCCCACTCCAAAAGTATGTTTTCAAATGAAACTCGAAACAGGAGGGGAAAACCTATAATTAGGTTACTATTGTGTGTTATTACAAACACACATCTCAACAACACATCGAACCCCTCCCCCCAGCACACAATGGGTGGTGCTCCAAAGGGGAAATTTTAGATTACAAAAAGGGGACTGTGAGAAAGGGTTAAATACCCCCTGCACATCTGCATCAAACAAAGCCTGGAAGGATGTGGGGGTATGTGACAACAGATTTCCAAGCACTTTATCTAGCTTGCCCTTGGAAAGTAACAAGGAATGAGCTGGGTGGGGGTCTTCCTCTCCACCGTTGGCAGCGATTGGGGTGGTGGTGAGAAAAAACAGACTAAAGGCAGAATTAAGAGTCATGGGGGCTGGCAGAGACCTGCTGGTCTATTGAGATATCTCACTTAGACCAGATGTTATCATTTGTGATGTGAAACGGGTCATTGTCCCTTTCTGAAAGAAGCTACAAAGGTAAGAAGAAATATTGGGAAATGGAGGTAAAATAGACTCCATTATATTTAAGTCGGCTTTGGTGACTGGGACCCTGGAGAAGGCCCTTGCAGAGCTATAAAATAGGACTCTTAAGAAATATTGTAACTGATGGACCTAGTGTGAGATGAACGTCTTAAGAGAGTTGGAGGTGGCCGTTTAAATTAACCATAAAGAAGGGCAGGAGAGTCTCTCCAGAGAAGGAGGATCCAGAGAACTCGTAGAGAAGGGCTGCTTGGTCAGCATCGAAAAGGGCCACTCGTCCCCCGGTGTAGTTCAGACACACCCGGATCTTCTTGAGCTCCCCACTCAGGGTCAGGAGAGGATAATCACACTCTTCTCTGCAAGCCATGTAAAGGCCCTTCCACTTCCCCACAGCCCACATCCCTTCCTCAGGACTAAAGGAAAGGTCTCCTTTTCTCCTCATGGACTTTCTGGCCACCCCCACAATCCATTCATCCTCACTTCCCACACAGACTTCCCAGAAATGGCGGCCTGCTGTGAATCCCTCAACACCCAGGATAGCACCAAATCTGTCAAATCTCTCAGGGCTGTTGGGCAGAGCTTGATCTTTTCCTCCTAGTTTCACACTTTTCTTATCCTCAGACACGATGAGTCTGGGATAGGCCGTATCTGGATCCAGCATCACATTCGCTGCATTTGGGGGGAGATGAGAAGAGAGAAGAGAAACAGATTCAGCTGGGAGACAAATGGTAGAGCTGTTTGACACATTCACCAAACACTATGGTTAGCATCCCATGTATATTTGTTCCCTGTGGATTTCCTAGATGTGGTTGGTTGTTTAGACATTTCCCTCACTTCTGCTTTTCCTGTTCCCTCTGGACTTACAGGTACTCCTACCCTCCTCTGTCCTATTTAAACAGACTTCCTGCACTTGAAGAGACAGCAGCAACCCATGTGAATACAGCCTGTACCCCATATCCTCTATCAAAGAAGTACCCTGAGGGAGAAGCAGGGGTTATTATGTATTTCATCCAACTTTATAAATAAAACAAAAAAAATCACATGTGGAAGAGCACTTACAGAACACCCTTACCACACGAAAATGAGTAAATGCACAGAATGGACTGAACCTGCAAGGTGGATCTTAAGACCTGATCCTAGAGGTATCCCAAGAATGACATTTCTGCCCAAATCATTAAGATTTCCAAGATTAGCATTCAAGATTAGCACCATCTCCTTCTTTGGCCAGAATTTCTTGATCTCTGATTGAAAAGGGAGGGGGCCTGAAATCTCAGCAAAAGCTAGCAGCAGGTTGACGAAGGACACTATCCTCCACTAAACTCTGAACCAGCCATTAATTATTTGTTTCAAAAGAATTGAGAACCCCTCCTTTCCTGTCATTCCTGCCACCCTCCCTAGGAATGGGATGGGATGTGTGTCTTTGAGCTTTTGAGGGTGGTCAAGTTGTTGTGTGATGCCACTTCTGGTCTCATAACTGGAAGTTACATCACTTTCACACACACCCCCCACACACAATTTCTCCTGCTGCGCTGGGGGGGGGGGCAGGAAGGCTCCAGGACAAGAGACACACCTGAGGTGGATGACAGAGGTTAAGAGAGAGACTCCTACAGGCACCTGGAGAAGCCTCAGTCCAGGTGTAAAAGGCTCTTGGAACAAGCAGTGAAGGAAGTGGGTTGTTGCAGCCTAAGACTGGACTAAAAGAGGTGAGAGAAAAGGGCTGCACTGAGGGAAGGCGCAGCTGCCTTGGACTGAGAGGTGAGAAACCGCCCCGTGCCATTTGGTTACTCTGTTTACTGGAGTCAGAGACTCTAATGCCTCGTTTCCTGTTGACTCTTGTCACTCGCTGAGATATTTCCGTGGTCCCTCCCCATTAGTCTCAGGACCCCACTCCACAAGTACTTTTTCAAATGAAACTTGAAACAGGAGGGGAAATCTTTAAGTAAGTTACTATTATGCATTATTATAAAAACACATCTCAACACACTGAACCCCTTCCCCCAACACACAATGTACGGTGCTCAAAAGGGGAAATTTTAGCTTACAAAAAGGGGACTGTGAGGAAGGGTTAAATACCCCCCCCTCCAGAAGTCCCTCCACATCTGCACCAAACAAAACCTGAAAGGATGTCAGATATCTGACAACAGATTTTCAAGCATCTCATCTAGGTTCCCTTTGGGAATGAGCTCTGGGGGTCTTCCTCTCTACCGTGGGGGGGGGGTTTGAGAAAAAAACAGGCTGAAGGCAGGATTAAGAGTCATGGGGGCTGGCAGAGGCCTGCTGGTCTCTTTAGATCAGACCTGTTATTATTTGTGAGGTGAAAAGGGTCATTGTCTCTTTCTGAAATAAGCCACAAGGATAAGAAGGAATACTGGGAAATGGTGTGTGTGTGTGTGTGTGTGTGGGAAACATATTCCATTATATTTAAGTCGGTTTTGACGACTGGGACCCTGGAGAAGGCTCTTGCAGAGCTACAAAACAGGATTGTTAAGCAGTATTTTTAGTAATTGCCCTGGTGTGAGATGAATGTCTTAAGAGAGTTGGAGGTGGCCTTTTTTCACATGAAAAAGATTCATGCAGGACAGCTCTATCAGCGGCTACTAGCCATAGTGACTAAAGAGAGCCTCCACGTTCAGAGGCAGTAAACCTCTGTAAATATCAGGGCCAGGAAGCAACATCAGGGGAAGGCCACAACCTCTATGCCCTGTTTTTGGCCCTCCAGAGTAACCAACTGGCTGCTGTGACAGACAAGATGCTGGGTTAGATGGGCCACTCACTGGTCTAACCCAGCAGGCCTCTTCTCATGTTTTTGTGAGATGAAAGGACGCAGTTCACCCCCTCAGAGTTCACCTTCTCTGCCATCCTGAGAAACCCTGACAGGCCTCCTCAGAACAAAGCATCGAGGGTCTGGCTAGGGCAGGGAGGATGAGATTTTGGGGGACAAAACAAGACGATCCTGGTAAACTTGATCACTGGAGAAACACCAAGTAGAAGAACACAGATTATGAGGTGACGTTTTAAAATTTAGAAATAACTGACTTGTGCATGCAATGTACCTTCCTGCAGGTCAAGTCCAGAATCCAGAGTGTCTGAGGATGCAAAAGGAACAGAAAGTAAGCAGCTGACCCTTGTGCATAAAACATATTTTGCAAGGAAAATATCAGTTAGCACATGTTTTTTCTCAGGTTCAGCTGAAAGGTTAAGTAGAAGCAGCTTCTTGGAAAAATCCTCCCCCAGATTTTACTTGCATGCAGATGTTCAAATGGTTTTTCACTTAATGTGAGTTCGCTTTTAGTTCCTAATTATGGCTGCTGTTGGGCTGAGAAAACAAATGGAAAACAAACTGACATTTCACTCTCCAAAAAAGAGACCAAGAATGATCCTGAACATGATTGTCCAAAAGTTAATTACTTTGAGTTACTTGAGAGTTGCTTCATAGAAAGTATGCTAAGGCCCACAACCCAAGGGTCCAGTCCAGATAAGCTTTGGATGCTTTCATACAGTGGTGTTCCTCTGATTTGGCATCAAAACTGGAGTGGGGGAGTGATGGAGACCCACAAAATATGGTCACCTAATCCTGTTTCTGGGATCTCTCCTGCTTTGCTCTGGACTTCACCAAATCCTGTTTGAAACAATCTTTTGGGAAAGACTGCCGTCAGAGTATTTTTTTCATGCTGTGTGGACAGAAAAGTATGCATTTGTGAAGGATCCACCTGTATTGCCACCATTTCCCTTGCCTCAATGCAAGTCTGGTGTAGTGGTTAAGTGTGCGGACTCTAATCTGGGAGAACCGGGTTTGATTCCCCACTCCCCCACTTGCACCTGGCTGGATGACCTTGGGCAAGTCATAGTTCTGATAAGAGCTGTTCTTGAAAGAGAGCAGTTTCTGTCAAGAGCTCTCTCAGTCCCACCTACCTCACAGGGTGTCTGTTGTGGGGAGGGGAAGGGAAAGGAGTTTGTAAGCCACTCTGAGACACCTTTGGGTAGTGAAGGGCGGGGTATAAATCCAATCTCCTCCTCATTGTCCCTGTGTCTGCGATTTCCCTCCTCTCAGTGGTTCTCTAGTGCAAGTAGTTCATCAGAATTCCTGGTTTTCATTTATTTTAAAAAATAAGTCTCCTGACTTTCCTGTTGTGGCGATACTAAGGGGAAGGTGAACCCCTTTTTCTCTACCATGAAAGCCCAGGCTGCACATTTCCCTTTATTGGTATGCAATGAAAAGGGTAAAAACATACCTTAAAAAAAGATAAATCATCAGTCATGGCAATTGATGTTTATAGCATTAATTCCCTCTAGTGATCAGTCTATTCCCAATTAGGGAAAAAACCCTGTGTGTGTAAGTGTGTGTGTGTGGGGGGGGGAAACCTGCGGTAATATGTAGAGAAACTGTAATCCCAGGGAGTTGAGAAAAAGGAAACTGTGAGGAAAACTGCTGTTTGGGTGCTCTCTGGCCAATGCCAAGGCCTCTATGTTCACAGGGATCATGAAGAACTGCTGCCAGGGGAAGCACCCATTGACTCCCTGGCAGGAGGGTGGCACCTTAAACAACTGGGGGGGGGGGGAGAAGGGCAAAACAGACAGGTGGGCAATTAGGATAGGAGGGGACCCAACTCAGCAGTTCCTGTCCAGATTAGAGAAGGGAAGGAAGGGGGACATCTCCACATGTCTCATTCAGAATTTGGTCCAAAATACTCAGCCCTTCCTTAATTCAAATTCAATGTAAGAATTTATTTATTTTTATAACTCTTCTACACTGCCTCTCCAGGAAACTGCTCAAGGCAGAAATCATTTGCTCAGGTCAATACTCCTGAGCTGTTACTCCCAGAAGTAAATTACTTGCTACATTTTTCTTCTGACATTCTTCAAGATGTTTATGGCAGCAAAGCTGGGGTTTCTGGTGGCCTTCTAGCCAGGTATGGGCCATGTTTCTTCAGAAACAGAATGCCTCACAGTACCATCCTGTGCAGCGTTATACCCTTAAAAGCCACTTGATTTCAGTGGACTTGGTAGGTGTCCCTCTGCTGAAGAGGGCACTGTCAGTCCCCATGAGGCCATTCCGTGGGCTCAACTAGGACACACTTAAGCTAACAAAACACTCAGTCCAAGTGGTCAGTTCTGAGAGGTCCGATTTGGCTATGTACACAGAAGGGGTGTGTGAGTCTTCCTGAAAGGAATCAGGGGGCATGATGAGTAAAAATGCCCTGGTCTCTCCCCTCTTTCACGTTGGAGGCTTGTTCTGCCCTTATTCTGCTCTGAGGCTTCTAGAACAACTCAGCCCCATTACAGTAAGTAGCCAACGCAATAGCCCAATAGGTTCATATCATTTTATTGTTCTCCATGCATTCAAATTGAGTAACTCGCGTTTCCAGCTGAGTGAATGAAGGCGTTCATACTTGTTGATAAAATTCCTATATCAGACTACTAATAGAAAGAGATTAATTCTGACCCTCTCACTTGCCGCTGATAAACTTCCAAAACAATGAGAAAGACTGAAAAGGCTTTTCCCGGACTTGCTAAAAAGCCCAGAGGGAACTTATCGAACTTATCTAGATTAAGCTATACGAGAACATGTGACCTAAAAGGTACAAAACTACATTTCCCATAACCCTTTTTCTTAAAGGCAAAAAATATATTCCTACTTTGGTGTAGGAGCCAGTTTGGTGTAGTGGTTAAGTGCGCGGATTCTAATCTGGAAGAACTGGGTTTGATTCCCCCACTCCTCCACTTGCACCTGCCTCGATGACCTTGGGCAAGCCACAGTTCTGCAACAGCTGTTCTTGAAAAAGAGCAGTCTCTGCCAGAGCTCTTATCAGCCCCACCCACCTCACAGGGTGTCTGTTGTGGGGAGGGGAAGGGAGAGGAGTTTGTAAGCCGCTCTTGGGTAGTGAAGGGCAGGGTATAAATCCAATCTCTTCTCTTCTTCTACTTCATACAAGCTGCTAACGATATTCATCCTCCTCAGGCAATACAGCCCTCACACCTCAGTTCAACAACACGTGGGCACAGGAATGAACAAAGATCAAACTGTAGAAACATTGTGAAAAAATCCAGAGAATGCAACGGTGTGCTAAAGCCCGAGAAGGAATTCTGATCAGAAAACTTTCCACGGTGAACTAAAATGGCCTTTTGGAATTGGCACACAAATTCCCTGTCCACCTGGCCCTGCTCGTGTTACAAGTGACCTTGAGGGTTCCACATTCACACTTGGCCTCACCTAATGACCTGCCTGAAGCTGTTCTTCATTACCTTTCAATTGCTTCATGACACCCTCCAGAAAGTGACTGACGTCCCAGATGTCCCAGACCCTCCACTTCAATGCAAGAGGAAAAGTCACTGGCTCTTCAAACGTCTCCTTTTCTTCATACCTGGAGGGGGGAAAGATGCTAGGTAGGCCACCATCTATCCAATCCAGAATTCCCACCAGTGGAGCAAGGAAATGACGGCAGGACTAAGCGGAAGCCCCAGAGACACCAGCAGTGGAAGAGGGGAGGCCCTCTGTGGAGGAATGTCTGTCCCCTCACAGTTGCTACAGAGACCCCAAAGCCAGTCACCTGGAGGCCAAATCAGACACTAAGAGGAACTCGTGGCTTCCCCTTAAAACAGCAGCTTCATATCCCCTGCTCACATCTGTTGAGGGAAAGGAGGATAACGCTACAGTGGTTCCAGTAGGTAGACAGCTGGAGTAGGACCGCAGAGGACCTGGTTCAACTCTCAGGCCTCCAGCTTGCAGGGTGGTCCTGGCCTGGGCCATTCTCTTTTCCTTGTGGCTGAACTTATCTAACAGGGCTGTTATGCGGAGGGGAGAATCAAGTACGCTCCCTTGAGCTCTATAGAGGAAGGGCAGGAAAGAAATGGGACAAGAGACAAAACATGCCAACATGCTGCTGTGGGGCATGAGCCTCTGCCCATGGGACCGCGTTCATCTGCAGCTGTCGTTTGCCAGAAACAAATGGACTGAGATTTGCGATCTGAGTCACAACTGTGGTGGTCCTGAGCCTGAAGGGCCACTTTCTTCACCTGCTACTCAGACCCATCCCAGCATCAGTGGGGGCGATGAGGGAGAGGGATCCACGTACCTCTGCAAGGTGCTTCGGACGTCCTAAAAAGCGAAGAGAGAAAAAGAGAGGAAACTCAACATCTGCCACAGGCCACACTGGGAAGACCCCTCAGACCGTGGGGAGAGGTGCATTCTGACTCCTTTTTGTGTGTGTCCCACTCAAGGACAGGAATCCAGCCCCGTAGCCAGGAATTTCTGGTTGGTGGGACAGGGGCCGGGGCGCTGGGACAGGGGAGCGGGGAGCTTAATTAGATCAAGTAAATAATAGCTCCCCCCCCCGCATTCCACTGGGTTCAGCATCATCACATCAACGCATACCTTGCTACACTTCGGGCTCTCTCTTTATATTAAAGAGGGGCAGTGACAAGCATGGTTGCGGGGGGTAGGAGCAGAAAGTGAAGAAACTCGGACCTGACTGTTGAGAATTGGTTCCATGTGGCTCTTAATGCCTTCAACGTTTCCAACCCGCAATGCTCACTTCCCAAGGCAGGAGCAAGGGATGGTGCATTACTGCGCCAGCCAAACCTGTCCGAGGAAATCACCTGAAGCCTTCCTCGATATTTTCTGGTTTCACTAAAAGGCACTCATTAAAGCGTTCTTTCATTTAAAAGCAAAACTAAGATGTAAAAATACTGATCAAACAGTAAGCTGGCTTTTGAAAAGCAACAGAGGAAGAGCTCATGTTGCTAGACGTGCAAATGCGGAGGGGCACATGGGCAGAAAGGAAACAAGGACGAGCAACATTAACGGGGCTCATTTGTTTTCTGCTTCAGTGAAGGCGGCACGGAAAGGGATTGGGTTTCTCCCCAAGAGGAGCCTGCCTGTTCCTGCCACTCCATCACCTGCAGGAGTTCACCGGCCGACTGCTGACACTTCTCCTCCATCTCCCGGATGAGGCTTTCCAGAGAGGAGAGTTCCTCAGAGAGCTGGGCCAGGTGCTCCTCCCTTTTCCTGGCCACCTCCTCCTCCACCTCTTCCATCTGGGCCAGCAAAAGTTCCTCTTGTTCTTCCAGAAACGTGTGCAGTTGCCTGAATTTGGCGACAGTCTTTTGCTTCTCTCCTTCAGTTTGCTTCTGAGATGGGAAGAGAAGAAAAGCAGGCCAAGGTCAGGAACACACAGCCGGTCTCTGCAGTGGGAAGAGGCATTTCGGGAGACTCTTATTGGAAGGGCACTTTTTGCCTTCCACAGAGATCACATCAACATTCGGCAGGGAAAGGGGAAGAGTCCTCAAGACCTTTTTTAAGAGGAAGAGTCCTCAAGACCCATCCTCAGGGCTAAAGTACACATGGATCTCACTCAAACTCCTGGGCGGGCTCTTTCGGCTACAGAGGACGGAGTCTGCAGCAGAAGACCCAGAGTGCAGAAGGGGCTTCTTGAGTCCTTCTGTTTCCCCATAAAACACCCTCCATATGCTGATCCCTGCACTTTCCCATCAGGGGACAAGATATGATGTTTGAGTAGAAACACCACTGGAGGCAAAAGAGAAAGAGAAAGAAAGAGATTGGATTTATACCCCGCCCTTCACTACCCAAAGGTGTCTCAGAGCGGCTTACAAACTCCCTTCCCTTCCCCTCCCCACAACAGACACCCTGTGAGGTGGGTGGGGCTGAGAGAACTCTGACACAAACTGCTCTTTTTCAAGGACAGCTGTGCCAGAGCTTGTGACTGACCCAAGGTCACATCAGCAGGTGCAAGTGGAGGAGGGGGGAATCAAACCCGGTTCTCCCAGATTAGAGTCCGCGCACTTAACCACTACACCAGACTGGCTCTCAGAGCTAAGAAACCCCTGCCCTTCGCTTGGTCTCCTAATCGAAACTGCAGCTTCCCTGACTGCATTCTGGGCAAGAAAAAAGTGCAGAGGGGAAAAAATCTACATGCTCCTGAGCATCCCAAGTACTTTCCCCCTTAGAATCAGCAATCAATTGGCTCAATTCAGGATCAGGGGGGGTCTCTATCAGCATTTTTAGCAAGTATTTGGGGGGAGGGGGGTTTATCTCTTTTCAGAGACGTCTCCTGGCTTACAGTGCACACAAGTGGCACCTGGACACATATGTCCATCTGCCCAGGATACATCCCACAGCAGAGAGCACCTTGGGAAGTCAACTGATTCTGCCCCAGACAAAAACACCCCACGACAACAATGTTCTAGATCTGGATGAATAGCCAGGGGCTGCCCACCCTAGGGGAGTGCCTAGGCCACCAGAGAGCAGGGAGTGTCAGTGGCACCAAGAGTGTGCAATTCCACAAGAGCCCCAGCCCTACCGCTCGAGTGGAACTTTGTTCAGAATTGCAACGTTAAGTCTGCTTTTGGGGGCCTGGTCTGCTGAATACTGACCATCTATGCACTGAACTTCCAAACTGGGAGAAGGGGGACGCCCACGTGGGTTGACTTTTCTGTACTTGTAGTCCACTGTTTCCTCCAGTACAAGTTCTAGAATCTGTTCACTCCCCAGCCACAGTGACACTTACAAGCAGGTCTTGGCTTTCCTTCTCTACGAATCCTTTAGATGCCAGAATTCTTTCTCTCTCCTCCTTCAGAATCTCCAGACGGCTGCAGAACTGATCCTGGGGGGGAAGACCCAAAATGGAGATTGGATTCTTTATAGAAGTTTACTGTAAAACATATGAGAAGCAAAACTATCACTAAGGCTCAAACAGATTATAACTGCCAGATTTCTGTAGCGGAACCTTCAACAACAGTTCCCAAAGGCTAGACACAGGTAGCTTCCTCGTGGGGATGGTGCCCCATTCTCTTCTAACATCCACTACGAATGCAAAGATATTCACAGTGCCCACGCTGCTTCAGCATGGAGATTTACTGTGTGGTTTATCCTCCTGCCCACCATGATGCCCCCATGCCACAGGGGGGATTTTTTTTTTTGCATGAAAAACTATTATTTGCAGTCGCTATATCACTATGTTGTGTTAACAGTCCAGCAATATGCCCAGTACTGACAACTTTAAAAAGAAATGGCAAAAAAGCTCGCGGGAGGTGGTGCTTCTGGAAATCGATACCTTCCATTCTACACTTTCCCCCAAACCTCTTTTGATATGATCCTGAAAAAATGATCCAAAGCAGGTTAGAGGGGAAAAAACCTACAGCAGATCCAGGGAAAACTGGGAAGCTGAGCGGAAAGACCAAAATGTCCTGCCAAGCTCAAGAACAACTGAAATCGGGAAAGCAGTGGGTGGGGCGGAGTTAAAACTGATAGATACAGAAGATCAGATACAGAAATGTGTTTGCACATGAAGCTTAGACAGGAAGTGAGTCTGTCTCCCCACATCACCCCACATTGGCCTTAGCAGGGGGACTTGAGGCAATTAAAAGGGAGCCACCATGCATTGAAGGAGGAAGCAAAGAGGTGTTTTCACTCCCCAGTTTGGGCCCAGAGGCTGGGGAGGAAACTGGAGAGTTTCCCTTCAAAGAGACCAAGGAGAAGGGAAGGATCCACAACTCTTCCTCACCATCCTCCACGTTGTTGACTTCCTACCTTGTACTCTTGGGAGGCCTCTTCTAGAGGAAGGGTCTGGTGATCCCTGTGCTCCTTGGATCGGTCACAGACCACACAGATGAGGGCTTTATCATCCTTGCAGAAGAGCTTCAGGGGCTCCTGGTGCTTCTGGCAAACTCTCCCTTTTCTGGATGTCACGACTGCCTGATGCCCAAAACAAAGAAACAGGATTTGTTTCATTCCCCCACCCCGAATTGTATCTCTCCTTGTAATGACTGGATATAATTAGTCCCTTGTTCAAAAATAGCACACACACATACACATTTGTAGATAGATAAAGAATGCTATGGCTTTTTTGGGAGACAGAATGCAATTAAGTGTAACCCTATGGTTTTTTTGGGAGGAAGGTATTTTATCTGTGTGAGGGAGCTGTAGGAGGGATACTGGGAAAACAGTTATGAAGAGAAATGGGAGAGAGAAGCCACCTGGGTCCAAGAGCAGAGAACAGAGCGACCAACAGCCCTACTTGTATTTTAGGTTCCACTTGTAAATGGATATTGGGGATTGGAGGGTCTGGGAGTTTGTTGTTGTTTGATTTTTTCCTTTTTTACCAACTGGCCATCTTCCCTGTTAGGAAGTGGAGGCCAGTGGGCTGGAGGCAAAGCTCCTTTCTTTTTCATCTACCCATCCCCCCATTAACAAACACAATTCCCATAATGTTTTCCCTCAGCTGGGGTTGGTGGGAGAAAATGAGGTTACACAAGTCTTTATTAAACCTCAGATTCCTTTGAAAGTCAGTGAATGAATCACAGCTCCTGCTTCCATGTAAACCACCTTCTCGTAACACCTGCTTTGAGCAGCCATTTGTGGTGTGCCAGAGGTGTCCCCAAACCCCCCACCCTATTACTTTCTTGCACTATGCATTCCTGAGGGGGTACAGCGACAACTGAAAATGAAAAAGGGAGGGGGGACTTAACGCAAACTGAATTAAGAACCTAAAGGTTACAAAGATATAAATGTATCGGCCCAATAATTGTTAGTCACATTAAAAACATTAAATATTGATAAATATACAAAAATATTTGTTGCTGTTCAGTCGCACAGTCGAGTCCGACTCTTCGCGACCCCATGGACCAGCTCCTGCCAGGCCTTCCGGTCTTCTGCCGTCCTCTGAAGTTTGCTCAGTTTCATGTTCATTGCATCTATGACACTGTCTAACCATCTCATCCTTTGCCGTCCCCGTCTTCTTTGACCTTCAATCTTTCCCAGCATCAGGGTCTTCTCCAGTGAGTGCTCCCTTCTCATTTGGTGGCCAAAGGATTTGAGCTTCAGTTTCATTATCTGGCCTTCCAGGGAACAGTCAGGGTTGATTTCTTTGAGGAGTGACTGATTTGTTCTTCTTGCAGTCCAAGGGACTCTCAAGAGTCTTCTCCAGCACCATAGTTCAAAAGAATCTATTCTTCGGCGCTCGGCCTTCCTTGTAGTCCAACTCTCGCAGCCATACATGACTACTGGGAATACCATTGCTTTGATCATGCGGACATTTGTTGGCAGGGTGATGTCTCTACTTTTTATCATGTATTTATTACAAAGTACATTAAAGAACAGACATTGGCCTTGGTGACTGCTCCAATAAAGAATCAAATTGTGCAGTGACAACAAAAAAATTACCATTATTGACCCTGACCATACACGTTCCGGCCCACTGGCCTTCCTCAGTGGTCAAACCAATGACATTACAGAATGGCTCCTGACATCCCTCTTGGCTCCCAGCTGCATCAAATTTTTCTGACCAAGCGAGAATGGTACACAATCGAGCCATTACTATAGGAAAGTGTACCTGACCATGGCAGCGAGCTATCAAGAATGAGGCCTCTGATTAATATCTTTGCCTTTGGTTACGGACTATAACCAGTAAAAAATTTCATTTTATCCATTTATAAGAAGTAATTGTTGCATGGTAATGTCAGGAGTCGTTCTGTAATATCATTGGTCTGACCACTGGGAAAGACCGACAGGCCAAAATGCGTTTGATCAGGGACAATAATGGTGATTTTGTTGTTGTTGTTGTCACTGCACAATTGGATTCTTTACTGAGGTAATCACCAGGGCCAATATCTGCTTTTTAATCTACTTTGTAATAAATACATGAATACTTTTGTATATTTGTCAATATTTAATGTTTTTAATTTGACTAACAGGGTTATTATAACAAGCCTCCAAAAGCAGATCCAAATCTATAAGGCGGTAAAGCTGGAACTGCATGAATAACAGATTTTAAAGCCACCTTTCAGATTTAACTCGAAGCCAGCCCGTCCCCCCTCTCACAGACAGCATCTCCTCCTAGGTGGAGCTCCAGACAACGCCATTAACCTCACAACCGAATGATGATTCTGGATTCTTATACTGGCATAACAACCTCTTATTCATTCTGAAGTGCGTTAACTTGAGTTTGATTTGGGGGCAACTTGAGTTGCCTTCCTTGTAAGTTAATTCTTCTGTATTTTTAAATGCATAATAAATACTAAAAAGAGACATTCCTTCACATCAGGGATCCATAAGGGCATTAGTATGTGGGGCACCTGTGGGTTCCCACAGCTTTCACCTGGGAGGCCCCTAATTCCTTTTTCTAAACTCTCACAATGACTCCCTCAGCCTCTCCCTCTAAAGGAATCATTAACTCCTGCAAGGGCCCTTTGCCCTCAGGGAAGCCTTTCTGCCAACAGCCCTCCAGTCGCCATTTTGCTCTGAGTTTTGGCTGTCTGGATCAGGGGGGAATGCTCAGAGGCACTTTCTAATGACTTCCACATTTTCTTCTGGTGCTGAAAACAGGTTTGGGGACCTGAGGTGCAGAACAAAGTTAGGCCTGACCCAGCCAGCCTTGCCAGTTGTGTAGTGTTGAGGTTCTGGGAACAACACGCATGCTCTTCTCGCCTTCTGCTCCTCACTTCATATGCACAATGACAGATTCGCAGTCCTGGAAGCTCCACTTCATCAGAGGCCCACATTTGGGGGGCTGGGCAGGGTTCTCCTTGGGCAGTGAAACCTCTTGGACTGGCCACACAGCTCCATCTCAGTATGGGATGGCTGAGGGGATGGCCATTGGAAATAACAGGCTGTACCTTAAGCGAGCAGAAATGGGATCATAGGGCAAAAGGCCTTCAGGTGAAGGTGGCCTGTCAGTGAAAGGCTCGGTGAGGGAAGCCTGTCAGTGAAAGGCTCTCTTGGTGGGAAATCCCGCCCTCCCCGAAGGCTCAGGGCGGCTTACAAGGCTAGGTCCCAGGCCAGGAGGCCAATAGGTCTCTTGGTCACTGTAAATAGCCTATCGGGGAGTGGGGGGGTGTTTGGTGGTGGGTTTCTCTGAGGGAATATAAGCCGGCCTGCGAGCCGGTTAACTTGTCTTTGTTCCTGACTAAATAAAGGTATGCTTAGCTGAAATCACTCTCCGTATGCATACTTTTCAGGATCATAGAGCAAAAGGCCTTCAGATGAAGGTGGCCTGTCAAGTGAAAGGCTCAGTGAGGCACCAATACTGAAAGGGCTGCCAGCAAAGGGAGATCTCTTGGTGGGAAGGGGAGCAATGCTCCCTCTAAGCTGTGGAATCTTGTG